GATTGTAGTGGTTGTCGTGAGCTCCCATAAGGATCTGTGCCTAAGGGCAAATGACGGTGCCCGCAATACTATAATGGCAAATGTCGGCGCCTACAACACTGTTTGGGCTCTGACATGCCTAGACGGTTGCAAAGCACCCATCTGGCATGACCTGATAGTACTATCCTACAGGTGTGTAAGGTATGGTCCTCGGTACTACGGTTGACTCGAGCGTCTTGCCTTATCTGCTCTGCCTGATTCCTAGGTACGTCAGGCGAGGCGGAGCCAGCCCTCGGACGTCAGGCAAGATAGAGTCTGCCCTTAGACGTCGGACAAGGTGGAGCTCGACAAGCGGCGTAGTCATGCTCTTGATTGTGTGGATGAATCAATGTTTGATGATCATTAGCTCCTCCTCTTTGGGTACCCTAGTATTGGTCCCCGACAGCACACGAACGGACTTGGCGAAAAGGAGGAAGGAGAAATGGCAGCGGTTGAAGAAAGGCTAAAGAACGGGAGGAAAACCCTCTCCCTTCCCCCTATTAAATGCGGAAAGGCGTGCGGTGGGACGTGGCCCTAGCTGACAGGACACGGCCCGCCCGACGAAAGGTCGCCTGGCTAACGGTACGTGGCCTGGGCGGGGCCCACCACTACCACAACCCGAGCATGGGAAACAAGGTGCAACCATAGGCAAACAACCCTCGGCCTTTCCAGATATGGTCAGGAGGGGCCCACAGATGAAATCTCCATTGAGAAGAGGCTAACGGGTCACCCGAGTCAATCGGACGGCTCGGGCGGCTGCCGAGAGACAGGTAAGGAGCAGTGGGATGCCCCATGTGGGTTATGCCAACCCCGTCATGAACGATGGATTCAGATCCCACTCGGACATATCCGATAGAAGCTCCCTAGACCTGTCACTCGAGCCATCAAGGTAACTTTACCAACCCCCATTCTACTTTCCCAGTGCATGAGCATTCATTCATCCATTCTCATGCATACATTCATACATTCAGTCATATATTCATCCATTCAATCATCCCATACATCCAAGCATTGTATATGTAATTGTTGCATCACAACGCTTCGCATTGCATCACAAAGCGGTGGTTGTCTCATTCGATATGAGCGACGGCCGATCGGGGTTCCAAGGCTAGCCCGCAAAGGGCTCGAGGCCGCCTAGCATCAAACAGAGCAAGGAGAACAAATGCAGATGAGCCCCAGTGGCCCTCGCCCGATCTGCTCAGAAGTGGATAGGGTCATCTTGACCTTCTCGTTCGATCCTGACCTCGAGCCATGCTCACAGAATCTCCATCGAGGGGAGGCCAGCGGGCCACCTAAGTCGGTCTCCGGAATGGCTCGGGCATCTACCGGGAGGTGGGTTAAGGAGCAGTGGAATGCCACATGAGGGCTATGCCGACCCCGTTACGAATGACAGATCTGGATTCCACTCGGACATTCCCATTATTAAGCTCACCGAGCGCGTCACTCGAGCCATCGAGGCAAGCGACGTTAGCTCAACCCCTCTGGTTGTGGAAACCATGGATGGGGTGACGCACAAAACTCGACCGACCCCTACCGAGCCCAACGGGGCTTGGGGGCTCGGGCCACCCGACCCTGACAGGGGAGTCCAGCCGACCGCACAGGTTGCAGTCGGAACGTACACGGGCGAACACCCCGACCGAAAGGAACCCAAGATTCCATAGCCCCAGAAAAGAGTACCAAAGTGCTTAGCCTCCAACTGACTCTCAAGCTGGCTGTAGGCTCGGGGGCTACGCCCATCTCTGTCTCGCTCGACCCTTGGGTTCGCGCTCTGTCTCGCCCGACCCCTCGGTCGCGGGATCCGTCTCGCCCAACCCTTGGGTTCGCGCTCCGTCTCGCCCGACCCTAAGGCCGCAGGCTCTGTCTCGCCCGACCCCTAGTGTTCAGGCTCCTTGTGTGAACAGCCCCTTCACGGCTTCACAGAAGTCCCAAAGGGGCTCGGGTGCTCCTATTGGGTTCATAAACCCGGGTTCCCAAATAGACCCGCTTCCCTGCAAAACCCGGGGTCTCCAATGGACCCGCTCCTATCAGCACAGCGACGGCGCACTCCTGGGCTGGCCCAGATACATAATGACAGGCTAAGACAATGATCTGGCCCCCAATCAGAAGGCCTGGCCAAGGTGGGACTACAGTCTGACTCCGACCTCCTTCTCCGACCGAGGATACGTTGGACCTCTGCTCGCTACACTTTCCCTACCGAGACGGTCGGGGCCGACTAGGAACGACCAACCGGGGACGCCCGCTCGGTGAGGACCTGGGGATCAGGCAGAGCAGATAAGGTAAGGCGCTCAAGTCAACCGTAATATCAAGGACCGTACCCTGCCATGCCCTGCGCACCTACAGGACGGAGCCACCAGGCCATGCCAGATAGACACTATACAACCTTCTAGATGCATCAGAGCACAAACAGTATTGTAGGCGCCGATGTTTGCCGTACCAGACGAACACGGTAGAGCCTGCCAGATGCGTCTGAACATAAACAGTATTGTGGGTGCCGACGATCGTCTCGTACCCAACAGCGTGGGCAACAAGACTAGGTAGCACATGTGTACTCTCTCTCTCTCTTTCTCTCTGACTTGTAAGGCCATCCCTTTCAATTATAAAAGGGGATGCGCTCTCTCCCAATAAAAGGACATTGGACGACTCGAGGACTCGACGACCTGAGCACTCGAATAGCTCAATAGCTCTAGAACTTGATAGCTATACAAAGCATACGCTCCAATACTTAGCTCACGTTAGAGAACCCGTCACTCTCTTCCATTCGGTTCTGAGTGTGACCAGGCCTTTAACACCCCCCCCTTCTCATTCCTACTCGTTTGTAACCCCACAGCAAACTTCGAGCACCTGGGCTCAGGAATAAAGTCACCGACCGACTAAAACTGGACATAGAGCACGTTGCCTGAACCAGTATAAATCCTGTGTCATTGAGTGCTAGGCCACATCCGATCACAACATACGGCAAAACTACAAATATTTACTTGTTGGTCACTTTTCGCACCAACACAACACTTGCAACATATAAAAGAAGACAGATAAAATACTTGAAACATGCATATGAAACACTTGCAAAAATATCTGAATACACTTGGAAAACCATTACAAACGTACACAACATGCAGATAAACACACTTGCAACATATGTGTGAAATATATGCAACATGTAGATAAACACACTTGCAACATACGTCTGAAAAACAGATGAAACATCAGGAACAAATGCTTGCAACATATGTGTATAACCATTGCAACAAATGCAACATCCTGATCCACTTTACAACATCCGTATAAAACACTTGCATTATACCTCTGAAACAACACAACATCTCCTTGCTGCATGGGAGAATGGAAGCTCGTCGATGTGTGGAGTTGATCAGAGGCGGTGGCTAGGGGCGAGGAGCAGAGCTAGGTTGGCAAGTGGATCTTGGTGAAGAGCGGAAAAGATGGCGCCTACATCGAGTTCAATGAGGTGACGGATGGATCTTGAAAGAAGGGCAACCGGCGGTCCTCGGCTCCCACCCGGAGTTCAAGGAGCCGGCAATCCGGGGTGCGGGGGAGCAAGCATGGGCGACGCGGCAGGTAGGGCGGGAGGGCGGTGCGATGCCAGGTCGGAGCAGCGAGGAGGCGGTGGGGCGTGCGGTTGCGCTAGTGGTCGGTGGGTTGGGGCTACGGGTGATGGCGCAGTGCTACAAGCAGGCGGCACGAGCTGCGCGAGGTGCAACGCGGTGGGGAAGGAAAAGAGCCACGAGGCACAAAAGCCAATTTCTCTTTTTTTTAAAACTCCCAAGTAGATAGAAAGGATAGTTGGGCTAGAGTGGTGGCCCGGTAGCATCCGGATGGACGAACGCCAGCTTCCCATATCACTGTAACATAAAAGAAAAACCATGACAAAAGCAAATGGATTAAAAAAATACAAGACTCACAGTAAGACTCTTCACGAATCACGAGAACTCAATGAATGCACAAAAAGTAGTATTCTGAGCGTACAAGCACACACATTTTTCGGAGCTTAGGGTGCGTTTAGTTCGCGAAATGAAAATTTTTGGACGTCATATTCGGATGTTTTGGGATGTCTCGGAAGGGGTTTTCGGATACTAATAAAAAAACTAATTACATAGCTCGTCTGGAAACTGCGAGATGAATTTATTAAGCATAATTAATCCATCATTAGCGCATGTTAGTTACTGTAGCACTTATGGCTAATCATGGACTAATTAGTTTTAAAACATTCGTCTCGTGATTTCTAACCAAATTGTGTAATTAGTTTTTTTCCGTCTATATTTAATACTCTATACATATGTCGCAAGATTCGATGTGATAGTTTGGGGTGAAAATTTTTAGAACTAAACCAGGCCTTACTTATTCCTTACACTAATAATCACATCGATCAACTGCCAAATACTGAAATAGCCACCAGCAACATGGAACAGTATTTATCTCTGCCAACAAATGCGAATCGTTATCAGAAAACCATGCCGGATTGCCGGTTCAATATTAGTTATTATTTGAGGCGCGGGCAGCATTCTTCGCCATCACCAGCTTGGCGTACTCTACCACTCTATCAACGTCCTGCAGGACCGCCTTGGCCGCGTCGAGCTCACAGAAGCGCTCCATCCACGCGGCCAGGAGCGGCGTCTTCTCAGCGTCGATGAGCTTGGAGCCGGAGAGCGGCTCGGATGCCTTGACCCACGACACCATGCCACCCAGAAGGATGTCCACGTACCCGACGCTGTCGCCGCCGAAGAAGGGGCCCTGGCCCCCAGAGCACTCCTTGAGGCCATCCTCCAGCACGTCCACCGCTGCGATCGTCTGCCTCATCGCCTCGGCCTTCTCCTCGTCGGTCTTCACCATGAACACCCGCCCCCACGGCGTCAACATCTGCGCGTGCGCCGTAAGCGCAGTTAATTCTTCAGCACCATAGCTAAATGTTCTTCTAGATATGAAAAAACAAACACACAACAAGAGTGGACAGGACATGGACATGTCACCTTGTCTTCGAGGTAGGCGGCCCAGAAGCGAGCAACGGCGCGCTGGTAGGGGTCGGCGGGGAGGAGGGACGGGCCAGTGCCGGCGAAAGCGTCGTCGATGTACTGCACGATGACGGACGACTCGCAGACCGGCTTCCCGTTGTGGATCAGCACTGGCACCGCCTTGTGCACCGGGTTGGAGCTGAGCAGGAGCTCGCTCTTGTTGCCGAGATCCTCTTCGACGTACTCGTAGCTTAGGCCCTTGATCTGGAGCGCCAGCTTCGCTCTGGTGACGAACGGGCTTGCCCACAGCCCCAGCAGCTTAAGCTCACCACCGACTCTCGCCATCCCCAACTATACAGTCTCCTGTCCTACCACAAAACTAGAAGGGTGTGTTTGCTTCTTTGTGATTCTGAAAGTTGGAGTTGGAGCCTAGAGTGCTTCGATGGGCTCTTTATCATGGCCTGCAAGGAGCTGATAGCCTGCTATTGGGTGAATCTTCTACACTTGTGGAATATGGCCAGCATTGCAAACCGGAGCTGTCGAGATCGATGACCCCGGACAAGCCTTGGAGTCGACGCCACCACGGACTCATGTGACTGTTGCAAGAATCGTGGCGTCGCAGTGATGCCATTGCTTCCGTCAGAGTACCATGTTGTACAGTATTACTCAATGCTTCACATTCTAAAGTCATCTGGCACAATTTTGTCGATTTGTGTTCACTACTACCGAAATCTATATCGAGGCGGCCGAAAACGATTTACGGAGGCGGGCAGTGCAACCGACTCCATCAAAGATCTTAGTTAATCAAAACCTATGGAAACGGTTGTTTTGCCCGTCTCTGTAAATCAATCAGAAAAAAAGAAAAATTCGTCGATGAGCCCACAAAGCCCATCCACGTGCCGCCGCCGTCGCTCGCTGGATCTGTCGCCGCCGCCACTGGATCCGGCTGTCGGGAGCCGCGCAGACCGCGCGTACCGCCGGGATCCGGCCTCTCGCCGCCTGATCGGGCCGCCCGCCGCCGCATTTGGATGTGGAGGGGGGAGGGGAGCGGCCCACCATCGGGATTCGGTCACCCACCGCCGGATCCAACCTCTAGTCATCGGGATCCGCCACATCCACGCCAGCGCTGCCACCGGCCACACGAGCGCAGCCAACGGATCCGTCCTGTGATGAGGGAGGGAGGAGAGGCGCGCCGCCATGGGTGGGGCCAGCCCATGTGCGCGCCGCTGCCGGTGGGGGCTGCCCCGCATGCCACTGAGAGAGGGAGAGAAAGGTGGGCGTCGGAGGGAGAGATAGAGGGCGACTGGGCAAGTGAGGGAGAGATGCGTTAGGTGCGCCGTCGGAGGGAGAGAGAGAGGGAGAGGGAAGAGCCGAGAGAGAGAATGGAGAATGAAACCCTATGTCCGAGTATATATAGTCCTAGCATGTTATTGGGCTGGGCTAGTATTTTTTAAAGCGGGCCTTATAGTGTTTCCGCCTCTAAAAATAGATTTACGAATTGAAAATAGACCATTTTTTAGGCGGTTGTCTTAAAACGACCTCCATAAATCTATTTTCGGAGGTGGGCATTTTCCAACCGCCTCGGTTAATAAAATAACTGCCTCCGTAAATCGGTTTTACGAGGCGAGCAAACTTGACCGCCTCCGTAAATGAAAACATCCGCTTCCGAAAAATCGTCGACATTTTTTGAGGCGGTTGAATTTTGTGACCGTCTCGGTTAATATTGTTTGGGTCCTGCCTCGCAAAATTATTTTTGTAGAAGTAGTAGAATTTTTTATTGTTCACACGCTCAAAATGGCCGTTACATCATTGAACCGAATTTAGTTGCTACTACTAGTGTCCGTGGCCATGGCTGCAGCTCGTGCCTGCTTCATCTTGCTGTACTCGACCAGCTTGTCGACGTCCGGCAGGATTGCTTTGGCGGCATCCAATGCCCCAAAGCGCTCCACCCACGCCACCAAGAGCGGGCTCCTAGTGTCGTCAAAGAGCTCGATGCCATAGCGCGCCTCGCCGTAGTAAACCATCGGTATGAGGCCCCCAAGCACGATGTCCAGGTACCCCACGCTGTCACCACCGAAGAAAGGCTTCCCCTTGGAGAGGTCCTTGAAGGCTGCCTCCAGGGTCTCCACCGCCGCGAACGTCTGCTTCAGTGCCACGTCCGGCAGGATTGCTTTGGCGGCATCCAATGCCCCAAAGCGCTCCACCCACGCCACCAAGAGCGGGCTCCTAGTGTCGTCAAAGAGCTCGATGCCATAGCGCGCCTCGCCGTAGTAAACCATCGGTATGAGGCCCCCAAGCACGATGTCCAGGTACCCCACGCTGTCACCACCGAAGAAAGGCTTCCCCTTGAGAGGTCCTTGAAGGCTGCCTCCAGGGTCTCCACCGCCGCGAACGTCTGCTTCAGTGCCTCGGCCTTTTCCTCCTCTGTCTTTGCCCTACTCACCTGAAATGCCGAGGCAAACAGCTGCAAGACGTACGCGCTCGATCCATCAGTATGTTTGAGCAAATTAGCACCATTGGTGAACACTTGCATCCACAGATTCAGTAATCAGTACCTTGTCGTCAATGTACGCGCCCCAGAAGCGAGCCATGGCACGTTCGTAGGGCTCGACGGCGAGGAGAGAGGGGCCATTGGTGCTGAAGGCCTCATCGATGTATTGCACGATGAGCTGGGATTCGCAGATGGACTTACCGTTGTGGATGAGCACGGGGACCTGCTTGTGCACCGGGTTGGACTTGAGGAGCAGCTCGCTCTTGTTGTAGTAGAGGTCCTCCTCCTCGAGGTTCTCATAGCTCAGGCCCTTGAAGCTGAGCGCAAGCTTCACTCTGATCACAAACGGGCTCGCCCACGTACCGAGCAGCTTCAGCTCCTCTCCTCCTCCAGCCATTCTCTGCTTTGTTCACGAAAGGTTTAACTCCTTTTTGCTTGTGCCTCTGTTGTGTTCTTAATCAGGGTCCGAGCGACAGGTGTACATATATACGCCACTGTGTGAGCAATGCCATTCTCCACACTAAATTAGTTGAAGAGTGATCTTGCGTTGAAATGGATCTTCATTGATCCTCAGAAATATAATGGTACTCGATTAAATAAACTTATCCAATGGAACATTCAACTGTCAACTGGTCAAATGAACAGAAAGTCCACTTGAATAAATTGTAGATAAAACTCACTAGCTCCATTCTTTGAGATAGTGCATTATTTTATTCTTCTCTATAGACTATAGTATCCATTCAATCAATGTTGGAATTTGGAACCATTGATGATTTGTTCAAATCCTTGGAGAAGAAGTTTAGGAAGTAGTAAGCAGAAAAATGGTGCCTTCTCTGCATTTTTTTTTCAAGGTCTACTACTAGTATCTCAAGATACCTCTTTAAAAAAGTAGCATGCGTAGTAAAAACATTTAATACTTCGGGAAGCCAGAATAACACTTATTTTAGAACGAAGGGAGTAAGTGAAGACATGAAGTATAAAAAAATCATATTGTTGCAAAGAAATTGTATATACAAGCAAATATGTCCGTGCGTTGCAACGGGAGAAAAAAACTATCAGATATTCATGGAAATTAAGAACCGAAATGATACATATCTATTTACGTTTCACTCTTTCTATAGAATTTTAAAGCTATAATTTATTAATTTTATGATAACTATGACATTCATAATATAAGCTAATTTTATATCATCACTTTAATATTACTTTGGTACATGCATATTAGACACATTTATTTAAACTGATATGGACAACAAGCTGTTTTAGATTGTAGTTCACGTTCAAGATTTTATTAGTTGGATCAACTGGCTAAATCAAACTAATAGGATTAGTTTTGTTTGTACTCAAAATTGCATCAATAACTTTAGCGGTGTAAATCTCTATTTTTTAAGGAAGAGATGAATTCCAACTGTTCATACTACTATTATTATATCTATTATTTGTTTTAATATTTATATGATAAAAAGGAAAAAAAGGATGGAAAAAATCAATCGGTAGTTAAGGACGGATGCAATTGGATGTGGAAAAAGAGGTCCGTTAAAAAAACATAAGCCAATCGAATACGGTAAAGCGGACAAAAAAAGATAAATACAAAGAATCATTTCACACTAATAAGAAAACACACGAAAAAGATATTTTTTTTAATATTTATATGATAAAAAAGAAAAAAGGATGGCAAAAATCAATCGGAAGTTAAAGAAAGATGCAACTGAATGTGGAAAAAGAGGACGGGAAAAAAAACGGAAGCCATTCGCATACGGTAAAGCCGAAAAAAAAAAAGGTAAGTACAAAGAAACTTTTCACGCTAATAAGAAAACATGAAAAAAATAAAAAGGCCCAAAACCCAAAACTCATCATGGTTTGATATTTATGATAAGCTTTGACTGATTTTTATTTTTATCCTTTTCTATTTGAAGTAGGATTCCTATTTAGGTTGTTTAGGATCGAAGGGATGTATTTGAATTAGTATTCCTAGATATTTAGGTTACCTTATTATCTATTCGTAGCTATCCAGGTTATCTTATTATGTATGTGCATATGTCATATATAATATCGTAGACTTCTAGACAGTTTCCATATTCATAGAGTTAGTTAGAGAGGGTCGGACCAAAAAATTGGTGGAGAGAAATTTTATCGCTTTTAATATTAGGTATAGATATAGATTTATGGGTTAACGAACGGATAATGAGATACCGATGAAACTGTTTAAAAATCGTATCTGTTTTATTACGTACGAACAGTTTTCACCAGCAATACAGAAAACAGAAAGACGGTAGAAATGCCATCTTAACACCAGTCCGGTTCATCAACATCAATTCGCGTCTGCAGCCTGGCCTCCCTCGTATGCAATGGAATCATTCAACGGTCAACTGGTTAAATGAGCAGAAAGTCCACTTAAATAAATTGTAGATAAAACTCACTAGCTCCATACTTTGAGATGGAGAAGTACATTATTTCGTTCTTTTCTATAGTGTCCACTGGAGGTTGGACCAATCAATGCTGCAATTTGGAACCATTCAGGATTTGTTCAAATCCTTGGAGAAGTTTAGGTAGTAAGTACTAGTAAGCAGAAAAATGGTGCATTCTCTTTTTTTTTTAAAGGTCTACTAGTACCCCAGGATAACTTTTAAAATCAGTAGTACTACCTAGTAAAAAATCTATTTCCAAAATCATAGTTGATGACATGAAGTATAGAAAAAAAAATTGTACGTATCTTTCCCCTGCTAGCCTGCACAGTTTATGGGTTAACGCACAGATAATGAGACACCGACGTCATTGTACGTATCTGTTTTTATTACATATCGTACAGTTTTCACCAGCAATACAGAAGTTCGGTTCATCAACATCAATTCGCGTCTACAGCCTGGGCCTCCCTTATCTTGGCGTACTCGACTAGCCTGTCAATATCCGGCAGGACCGCCCTCGTCTCATCCAGCACACTGAAGCGCTCCACCCATGCGTTTAGCAGTGGGCTCCTGGAGGCATCAAAGAGCTCCAAACCATGGCGCGCTCTGGAGGCATGAACCCATGCCACTAGGCCGCCAAGCATGACGTCCAAGTACCCGACGCTGTCTCCGCCGAAGAAGGGCTTCCCCTTGGAGCACTGCCCGAAGGCAGCCTCTAGAGTCTCGATCGCCGCGAACGTAGGCTTCAACCTCTCCATCTTCTCCTCCATAGTCTTTCCCCTGCTAGCCTGCACCCATGAGGCCAGGAGCTGCAATATATACACACGTCGGTCAGCATAAAAACTTGAACTGAATTGATGGATACAAATTGGAATGCAGGGATCGAAGAGGTAGTGCTACTAACCTTGTCGTCAATGAAGGTGGCCCAGAATCGCGCCATGGCACGTTCGTAGGGGTCAGCTGGGAGGAGGGAGGGGCCTGTGCCAGTATAGACCTCATCGATGTACTGCACGATGATCTGTGACTCACAAACAGGCTTGCCATTATGGATAAGAACGGGCACCTTGTTGTGCACCGGGTTGGACTTGAGGAGCAGCTCGCTCTTGCTGCCGAAGAGGGCCTCCTCTACATACGCGTAGCTCAGGCCCTTGAAGCTGAGCGCGAGCTTCACCCGCAGGACGAACGGGCTCGCCCACATGCCCAGCAGCTTGAGTTCGCCATCACCTCCTCCGGTCATTGTCGTGCTCTTTAATTTTGCGCTGAGCTCGGCGCCGAGCTCGGCACCATGTATTCTGGCGCCGAGGTACCGACCACATGAACGTCATCTAGAATGTCCTGCTGTGCATGGTCAGGCACCTCGGAGCCAAGATCAGAGGCGTCGAGACGTGTTACCTCGGCGCCATGAGTCCTGGCGCCAACTCCAAAGGTTTAAAGATGAGTTTAAGTCTCCCAAAGGTCAAACATAAATTTTATTAAAAAAAGAGCGAAATTATAAAAAATTAGGAGGCCTTGCGGTCGTGCAGCGGTTGGTTGGAGTTTAGAGGAGGATAAGGCTGGAAATATTATATTAAAAATATAAAATACAGTAGCACCTAGTGCGTACACACTGTCAAGAATACGTCGATCACGATGATGTTTTAGTGTCTCTTTGAAGATGGAACCACTGGCAAATTTCTCAGGCGTCAGCACTCAGCAGTGAGCTCACCATCGCCTGCTGACCAAAAAATAAAATTGATTGCCGGCATGGGATGTTCCCCACGATTTCTTGGATCCTCGTCCAAGTAATAGAGGTTCCTTAGATTGTTCCAACACTCTTGTTTAAATAAAAGCGTGGGGATGCTAGAAGTCAATCAATCAAGACAAACAAAAGAGGTGTCATCGCAGCAGAGGATGCTCTGCCTTTGTGTATATATAGACTCCCCGGCACTTCCCTCCCCAGTCACCAAGAATTAAGCCAACGAAAAGAAAAAAAACGCTACTGGTAGAACATTAGTGAGAGCCTGCAGTTCCAGCAATGGCCGGAGGAGACGACCTGAAGCTGCTGGGCATGTGGGCGAGCCCGTACGTGTTGCGGGTGAAACTCGCTCTCAGCCTCAAGGGCCTGAGCTACGAGTACGTCGAGGAGGATCTCAGGGACAAGAGCGAACTCCTCGTCAAGTCCAATCCCGTCCACAAAAAGGTACCCGTGCTCATCCACAACGGGAAGCCCGTCTCTGAATCGTTGATCATCCTGCAATACATCGACGAGGCCTTTGCCGGCACCGGCCCGTCCCTCCTCCCTGCTGACCCCTACGAACGCGCCGTTGCTCGCTTCTGGGCCGCCTACATCGATGACAAGGTACGTACGCATCACCTCAGATCTTGCAATCGATTGCATGTTGACCGATCGTGTGTGTGGGTGCAGAAATGTTTCCTTTATCGGCCGAAATCTTCTGATATTTCCGATATACCATTTTTATCCGTATGTGCCAATAAGAAAATATCTATCTTTTTCGTACAAATTTTATTTAAATTTACTTAAATTCAAATTAAATTTTATTTAAATTTGATCCGATATTTTCGATATATCCTGTTTATCCTCTGTATCTGTAATCCCCGATAAATTTTAATTTTTGAAAATGAAAACCTTGGGTGCAGATGCTGCCCGCTTTGAACCAGTCGGCGATGGGCAAGACGGAGGAGGAGAGGGCTGAGGGAAAGAAGCAGTCGCTCGTCACGGTGGAGACCCTGGAGGGGGCGCTGAGGGACTGCGGCAAAGGGAAGCCCTTCTTCGGCGGCGACAGCGCCGGGTACGTGGACGTCGTGCTCGGCGGCCTGCTCGGGTGGGTGCGCGCATCGGATGAGCTGCACGGCGTCAAGCCCTTCGACCCCGAACGGACTCCGCTCCTGGCGGCGTGGTCGGAGCGCTTCGGCGCGCTGGAAGCCGTCGAGCCGGTGATGCCAGACGTGAGCAGGCTGGTTGAGTTCGGCAAGATGTTGAAGGCACGTCTAGCGGCTCCTCCGGCCGCCGGTGCAAGCAACTGAAAGCGCAGCTTATATCAGTCTGGACTTAGCTGCTTGCCACGTGTTTCAGAGTTTCAGGCTTTCCGCTAGTGACGAAAAAGAAATAACGGAACGCGGCTTTGTGCTCTGCACGATATACATTGCGGACTTGCCGTTGGTCAGTTTGTATGTGCAATGAGTGTTGCCATGGATGTGTCTTCAGTGTGCTAGTTCAGATGTATCCCGTTCGGTTCAGTGATCATTTGTAACATTTTATTTTGGAAGGCTGGAGGACAGAGGAAGGCGACTAGAGGTGGAGGGTGAATACGAGCCAATTCTAAATTTGTTTTAGAATGGCCGTTGCCCCCAAAATCACCATAAAAAACACCATACTCTCCAATCGTGATGTCCTCGAGCCAACCGGTGATGGGATGTTCTCGGTGATGAGCATGACACTAAGACTAAAAGCCAAGGGAAACACCAAAACCCAAAACAGAGCTCTCCACTTCAATTACGATGAAGCAAGATTCTAACTCGAAAAGTCGAAATCCTCGTCAAGTCGTTAGAGTATAAGTGACTTAGAATAACCAAATGACTTACAATAACCAGCTGACACACGCGATAAACTTGATATGCTTTGACTCTACGAGAAAATTGAAATAACTTGTAATTTAAAATGAAGGAAGTATAAATGAAAACCCATCCTTTTTTATTTTCTAATCTAATAATAACCAGCTAACATGCTCATAAATTGTACTTATATATTTTGCCGATGCCCATATCTTCGTCCAACACTGCTGTCGGTAAAGCCGCAGAGCCAATTTTTTAGTTGTTGGAGGCTGCAGCTGCCGCGGCTTGGGGCTGCCACTGTTTAGCGTATTCGACCAGCCTGTGGACGTTTGGCATTACCGTCTTGGCCGCTTCAAGCGCGCCGAACCGCTCCGCCCACGCATTCAGTAGCGGGGTCCTTTCGCCATCAAAGAGGTTCCTCCCGTCCAGTTTCTCGGCAGCGTGCACCCACGCAAGCAGGGCCCCCAGCGTGACGTCCAAGTACCCAGCGCTGTCACCACCGAAGAAGGGCTTGCCCTCAGAGATCTCCTTGAACGCCGCCTCTAGGTTCTCAGCCGCGACGAGCGTCTGCTTCAGCCACTCCGCCCTTTCCTTCGGGAGTCTTGGCCCTTGTCAACGGCAACCACGAGGCTAGGAGCTGCAAACAAGAAACAACACATCCATAACCATCAATATGCATGAGCTCGTGTGGTACTACTAGTGGAGAGTATGTAGTACCTGTTAGTTGATCTCCACCCAACGGTCTATTGGGCCCTTATCTCTCGCTTCTCCCGATCGGGAGCCCAACCCTAATCCGGTTGGTGGGCCTGTCGACAAACACACATAAAGGAAGGTGGGGGTGAGGGCTCGGACTACGAGGTTGAACGGAGCCGCCACACCCACCTAAAGATAACCCTAATCCAATCTAAAGACCGTGCTGCCAGCGACGGGATGTGCCCCACCGACTCCGCCGTCACCCCTGCAGGATCACTACCGTACCACTACGGTTCACCACAGCGCCACTGGGTCTACACCGGGCCACTGGTGATCGTCTCCACGGCGATGGATGCCTACTACACCGACGGCATCGGCATCTACCCGCTGAGGTGCATCCACGGAGAAGACGAGGATGCTTACCCGATCCTACGGTCACAGAAAGGTACACATCGATCCTAACAATGGTACCAGAGCTAGGTTGCCTCTGTGTAACCCTAACCCTAACCGGGTAAAAGAAACGGAAAAGGGACCGGGGGTGGCGGAGGTCACTGGAACCCCGATCACCACCGCCACTGCGCGGGAAAAGTGCCGCACTGACACGGCAAGAAAGAACAGATCCGTGTTCGGATCAGAGAAGAAGTAAAGAAATGAGAAAAGGATCTCAAGAACCCTAACCCTAACCCGCGCAGAAAGCTCGGGGAAGAAGAAGAGTAAAGAACCGAACACTTCCTTTCGGATCTGATTCCCTAACCCTAACCCTAACTGGGTTAAAGAAAGGGGGAAAAGAAAAGGTTTTGGCCTTAAGATGAACAGAGCCGAACCCTAAATCCGAAAAGAAAAGAAATCAAAGAAAAGAAAAGAAATCAATTGAAAACCCGAACCCTAACCCTAGATCTCGATTTCGGATGAACAATGAAACGGAAAGAGAGAAGATCAATCCAAATCGAAAAGAACAAGGGGAAGAAGGGAAGGGCTGCCGCCTCGCCGACGTATGAAGATGAACAGTGAAACCCCATCCCGAACCCTAACCCTAATTTTGACCCCAACCCCACCACGGGTTAATCCCAGAAGAGAAAAGGGGACGGGAAAGAAGGAAAAAAAGGGGGACGGATCTACCTCACCATGCGGCGGGAGAAGAAGAGCCAAGCCGGCCCTTCGCCGGCGTGGGAGAAGAAGAGCGAGGCCAAAAGGGGGCCGCGGCCAGGCCGCTCGACGGCGGCGCGCTCACCCACTGGGGAGCGCGCACGCTGGCGAGGGGGCCAGCGGCGGCGCCATGGATGCCCGCTCGCTCGCTGCTCGCTCGGGTGCCGCGGCCAGGCCGCTCGACGGCGGCGCGCTCACCCGCTGGGGAGCGCGCACGCCGGCGAGGGGGCCGGCGACGGCGCCGGGGCTCGCTGCTCCACTGCTTCGTCTTGCTCGCTCTCTGTTCGCCGGGCTCGGCAAAGGGGTCACCGCGGCCAGGCCGCTCGACGGCAATGGCGGCGCGCGCTCACCATTGGGGAGCACGACGCCATGGGGGGGGCGGCGGCGGTGCCATGGACGCTGCTCGCTTCGCTCGCTCGCTTCGGTTGGTTGTGCTCGAGAAGAGATGAGGTAGAGAGAGGAGAGAGAAGAAGAAGAGAGAGAGAGAGCAGAGAATGAAAATGACCTAGGGTTTTCCACGGGGCGCGTGGCGTTGGGGTTTTATCCGAGCGAAACGGTCGGGCGACCGTCGGATGTGATCCGACGGCGGAGCGCGATTGGGCCAAACTCAGCCCAAAGTGGCGCGAAGGCCGGGCCATTTTTCGGCCCTGTGCCCAAAGTTGCGGCTGAGGGTGCGAAGAAATGGGACTGTCATGCGGCGTCTTTGAGTGGGCGGGCCGCTTTAACGGCCGGGCCGAGTGAACAGAATTGAAATGATTCAGTTTTTGTTTTTTCTTTTTCCAGCAAACATTTATTTCCTAGAAAATGAATAAATGGCTTAAAGAAAATAGAAAAGAGATTTGTCCTGTGGGCAAAATTCATTAAATTGAATTATTTTCCGTTGCTAAAGAGAAAATGTTTATTCTACAGTTAATTTGTACCAACGTGGTATTTAATTGGAGAAAAAGAGATTTTTTCCGCTGCCAAAGAAAAAGTATATTCTCCAATAATTTTGAACAGACATGATATTTAACTGGAGAAAAGAAAAGTTTTTCCAGTAAATCTTTATTTCCTGAAAATTGATTAATGGATTAAAGAAAATAGAAAAAGCAATTTTCCCTGTGGGTAAAATTCAAGGAAAAGAGAGTTTTTCCACAGCCAAAGAAAAGTTGTTGATTCTCTAGTTATTTTGAACCAATGTGGTATTTAATTGGAGAAAAAGAGTTTTGATATGATTATAATGTTGTTATTTTCTGACCAACGTTGTTAATAACAATATCATAATTATAATGATTTATGCATTAATTCTATTTCTGCCCAACGGTGATGTAGAATCAGTGTATAAGAAAAGTTGATAAAAGTTAATGATTTATGCATTAATTCTATTTCTGTCCAATGGTGATATAGAATTAGTGTGTAAGAACAGATGTGAAAGTTAATGATTTATGCATTAATTCTATTTCTGCCCAACGGTGATATAGAATTAGTGTATAAGAATAGTTGTATGTTTTAATTTTGACTAACGTTGGAATCAAGGCATGCAAATGGTGTTATTTTATGTTAAGAAAAGTTTTGACCTGATTTTCATCTTGTGTAAGGTGGACTGGGTAGTCACCTCACCGTGTTCCACTGAGATTGTGGCACCGGTGAGGGAGACAAAAGTGAATGATGCCACTTGGGCAACTAAAGAAAGGGATTTTGAATCCCAAAAGATATCCTATGGCTTTTGAGCATAGGAAGTGGGTTACTGCAAACAAGAAATGTTTGGCGGTGATAAAGAACATGATTGAACCTGTAATTGTGGGCTCAATCCCAGAATGTGACACGGTCACCGAATACCTCGATAGAATAAAGAGTCAGTTCACTGGCTCTTCAAAGACATATGCCACTTAGCTGATAAAGCAGTTGGTCACAGAGTGTTACTCTGGAAATGGTGGCATAAGAGAGCTCACGATGCGTTATCGAAATTATGGCACTGTCGTTTAGGCCATATTTCGAGGGGGAGAATAGAAAGACAAGTTAAGAATGATATTCTTCCTCCATTAGAGCTCTCAGATTTAGAACAATGCAGAGAATGTATAAAAGAAAAGTATGTAAAGAAGATTAAAAAAGATGTCAAATGAAGTGCAGGAGTTTTATAGATTATTCACACAGACATCTGTGGTCAGTTTTCCTGTAAAGAGTGTGGATGGTAATGATTCGTTCATAACATTCACATATGAGTACTTCCATTATGGCTATATTTATCCAATCAAAGAAAGAAAAGATGTATTGGATAAATTTAAGATATTAAAGATTAAGATAGTCAGGTCTGACCGTGGAGGAGTACTACGGTCAGCATACCCTAAAAGAATGGCATAGTAGCCTAGTATTCTATACCGGGCAAACCTCAGCAGAATAGAGTAGCTAAAAGAATCAATCGTACCCTGATGGATATGGTGGGCAGTATGATAAGTTACTCCACCTTACAGTTGAGCCTGTGAATGGAGGCGTTGAAAACAGCCATTCATATTCTTAATAAAGTATCAAGAAAGTCAGTGCCCAAAACACTGTATGAGTTGTGGACAGAAAGAGTACCCTCACTAAACACTTGAGTGTGTGGGGGAGCTCTGCTGAGGCTAAAGTATTTAACCCAACATTGGAAAACTAGATCCCAAAATAGTAAGTTGCCATTTCATTGGCTACAAAGAAAAGTCAAAAGGTTTTCGTTTTTACTATCCATAGTGACATACAAAGTTTGTGGAAACGAGACACGCTGTCTTCCTAGAGGACAAAAAGATGAGGGGGGCATGGTAGCTCGAGAAATTGTCCTTGAAGTGAAGCGGGTGTATGCGCCCACTCTAATGATTCATGAGCTATTTTTCTCACTACCTGTTGTAGCTACACTGACAGTGCCAGATACTGTGGTGCTAGCACATGTTGTTATCCCACCTGTGGCAACAATGAATGACGATGAGGAACATGTTCTTCAGGATTCTATAGAACCTATTGCCACACATGAGGGGGAGCAACAACAGCCTCAAATAGAAGATGTGCCAAATGTGAAGGCCCCTAGTAGGTCTCAAAGAGTTAGAAAATCAGCTATTTCTACTGATTATGAAGTGTATAACACTAAGGAATTCCAAATGTAAGATGAAATGAAATCGATGAATGTCAATAAAGTTTGGGATTTGAAAATAATTCCTAAAAGAGTCAAAACAGTAGGCTATAAATGGGTCTACAAGACTAAACATGACTCTCAAGGGAATATAGAGACATAAAGTGTGACTTGTGGCAAAAGGCTTTATGCAAAGAGAAGAGATTGATTACAATGAGATCTTTTCTCCAGTCTCATGTAAAGTTTCCTTCAGAATCATAATGACATTAGTGGCACATTACGATTAAGAATTACATCATATGGATGTAAAGACAGCATTTCTCAACAGAGACTTGGAGGAAAATGTTTACATGGCACAATCAAAAAGTTTTGTCATAGAAGGAAAAGAACGAATGGGATACCGTTTAAAGAAATCTATTTATAGATTAAAGCAAGCTTCAAGACAGTGGTACTTGAAGTTTGATCGGTCAATAAAGAATTTTGGGTTTTAAAAGAGAATGTAGAGGACAATTGTGTCTATGCAAAGTTTAAGAATGAAAAGTTTATCTTCCATGTCCTGTATGTAGATGATATCTTACTTGCTAGTAGTGATGTCAGTCTACTATAGGAGGCAAAGAAGTTTTGTCCCCAAAACTTGATATGAAAGATCTTGACGAAGCCTCGTTCGTTCTTGGGATCGAGATTCACCGAGATAGAAGAAAAGGGTATAATGACTGTCACAAAAGGCATACATGGAAAAGATCTTAAAGAAATTCAGTATGCACAAGTGTAGTCCCTCACCTGCTCCTATAGTCAAGAGCGACAGATATGTGGATTTTAAATGCCCTAGGAACCAATATGAGCTCAATCGATAAAGTAAAAGTGGTTCCATATGCTTCAGCTGTCGGAAGCTTGCAACATGCTCAAGTATGTACGCGCCCTGACTTGGCATTTGTTACCGGGTTTTACTTGGCAGATTCTAGAGCAATTTTGGAATAGAACACTAAAATAAGTAAAGAAAGTCTTGCATTATTTGTAAGGAACGAAAGGCCTCATGATGACATATAGAAGATTTGATTCACTCTACATGGTGGGATATTCAGATTCTGATTATGCGAGAGTGAATGCATATCCAGACGTGGATTTTCTATCATCTCGTAAATGGGAGCTATTTCATGGAAAAGCTCAAAGCAAATTGTCACTACATCGTCCACAATATATGATAGTTTGTAGCGTGTTATGAGGCAACGGGCAGGTGAACTAACTAACAAAGTTCATACCCGGTTTGAAGGTGGTTGACGACATCTATAGACCACTAAAGTTATACTGCGATTATAATCTGACAGTAAAGGATGCTCACAACATAAGTCAAGTGGTGCTCCTAAACACATTGACATAGAGTATTATGTTGTGAAAGATAAAGTCCGGGATCAAGTCATAGGTCTTGAGCATATAAGAACAGAAAGGGTGCTCGCGGATCCGCTTACAAAAGGCTTACCACCCAACATGTACAGAGGACATGGTGTTCAGAGAACATGTAGCTAGTTTGGGTTTAAGAGAAAGCCTAAAATATTCTTGGACAAAAGAAGGCCCAAAGATAAGTATCTATTTCAAAACAGAGTAGTGAGTTGTAGCTGTTAAGTCTATCGGCAATGGACCGTGACGATGAGACATGCTCTATGAGCTAATCTGTAATGGAATGAACAAAAGTAAATGATATGAAAGTGAAAGATGGAATGAGATCAAGGGGGAGAATGTTAGTTGATCTCCACCAATAGGCCCAACGGCCTATTGGGCCCTTATCTCTACTCCCTGATCGGGGGAGCCCAACCCTAATCCGGTTGGTGGGTCCCTGTCGCACAGCACACATAAAAGGAAGGTGGGGGTGAGGGCTCGGACTACGAGGTTGAACAGAGCCGCCACACCCACCTAAAGATAACCCTAATCCGATCTAAAGACCGTGCTGCCAGCGACGGGATGTGCCCCACCGACTCCGTCGTCGCCCCTGCAGGATCACTACCGTACCACTACGGTTCACCACAGCGCCACTGGGTCTACACCGGGCCACTGGTGATCGTCTCCACGGCGATGGACGCCTACTACACCGACGGCATCGGTGTCTACCCGCTGAGGTGCATCCACGGAGAAGACGAGGATGCTTACCCGATCCTATGGTCACAGAAAGGTACAGATCGATCCTAACAGTACCTTGTCGTCAACGTAGGCACCCCAGAAGCGAGCAAGGGCGCGCTGGTACGGATCGGTGGGGAGGAGGGACGGGCCAGTGCCGGCGAAGGCCTCATCTTGACGGACGTAACAATGCTGGACGATACGGTGGCTTAGTTTATTTGTTGATTTTTGGGGCGTTGCAAGCATAGGAGATACAGTAAACAACGTTGAATTTGGAAAATGTACAGATTATTGTTCAACTCTTCTTGGAGGAGAATCCTAGGAAGTAAACGTCTCATGTCCCTCTCCGCTCTAACAATCTGCTAGCGTACCAGTACCTCTCGATCATGGCCTGGCCCAAGCTGTGAAAATTTTCCTTGAGTACAAGCTTAGAAAGTGGTAAACAAAACCATATAGTAAACAAAACGTACGTAGAGGCAGTACAAACTCCTTGGGTGTATTTGATTTTCCCTTGTTACACAGATATCAAAATATTTCTCGGTATTGACTGCCTCAATACCACGACACGTTCGGTTCAGTTGTTTCCGGCAGCAGCTGCAACCTCGGCCTCCCTCATCTTGGCGTGCTCTACGAACCGGTCGATGTCCGGCAGGACAGCCACGACCTCGTCCAGCTTGCCGAAGCGCTCCACCCACTTCTCCAGCAGCGGACTCCTGGAGGCATCGAAGAGCCTGAGACCGTGACGCACCTCGGCGGTGTGCATCCACGCTACCAGGGTCCCGAGCGCGATGTCCAGGTAGCCGACGCTGTCGCCTCCGAAGAAGGGCTTTCCCTTGGAGCACTCCTTGAACGCCCCTTCCAAGGTTTCTACGGCCGCGAACGTCAGTTTCAGCCCTTCCGCCCTCTCCTCCTCCGTCTTGCCCCTTCCTGCCTTTAACCACGACGCCATGAACTGAAACACACGCGCGCGGGCACATTGATCAGCATACTAATTTCTTGCAAATACTGGATGATTTAGGGGTACGGTACTGACCTTTTCGTCAATGAAGGAGGCCCAGAAGCGCGCCATGGCGCGTTCGTAAGGGTCGACGGGGAGGAAGGAGGGGCCTGTTGCGCTGTAGACTTCGTCGAGGTACTGCACGATGACCTGCGGCTCACAGACGGGCTTGCCGTTATGGATGAGGACGGGCACCTTCTTGTGCACTGGGTTTGAGCTGAGCAAGAGGCCGCTCTTGTTGCGGAGGTCCTCCTCTACGTACTCGTAGCTCAGGCCCTTGAAGCTGAGCGCGAGCTTCACCCGTAGGACGAACGGGCTCGCCCACATGCCCAGCAGCTTCAGCTCATCACCTCCTCCTGCCATTTTCTGGATGGAAGTATTGCTTAGCTTCTGTTTCCACTCTGCTAGCTCTTGGTTGAGCCAGAGAACTATATACTTGTGATGTGATATGATTGCAGTTATATAGGTTTGGAGCCATCGCCCATCGATGCATCATCCGTGACGCTAGCAATCCATTGATGATAGAATATTTCACGAGTATCAATTTAATTAAAGTTGGTCACATGCTTGTCTGCAAATGCAATCCATCTCTCATTTCAGTCTCCTACTCCCACGTGGTATGTATTGACCGTTGACGATCTAGATGACTTTATCAAGCTCTAAGTCGGTGCATTGGTCTGCCCAATCAAATTGGGGAACAAGTAACTGGCAGTTACCTGTTATCAAGCTCTTACCCAACTCTTATCCTGTCCTGCATCCATGCAAATAAATGTCTCAGCCCAATATTCAACATGTTTGTTACATGTTATATTCCACCGCAAAGTAGCATAAACAAGAAGATGGGCATCGTTCAGTGTTTTTTACCGGTAGATATTTGGTTATTGGGGAACCCCGCTTGGTAAAAAAAAAATCACAGATGAAGACGAGATTTATACTGGTTCGGTGCCCCCGGAAAAGCGGGTAAAAGTCCTACGTCCATTTGCTACTTGTTTGTATTGCTTGTATTCGGCGAGATTACGATTACAATATGGCTACGCCTATGAAAGAGTTGATGATTACAACAGGGAGAATTGCTAGCTATTTATATTCGGGACCAACTTGCCCTACAAGCTAAGGAGTCGTGCCCTAGTTGGACTCTTAGCGCAATCCGGAGATATCCTTCCTTGAATAGGGTCATCATGGGCCTTTGGGTCGTCTCTGATCCGGAGTAGGTAGTCGGCAATATGGAAGTCGGGGTAACCGGGGGTATGGCATCGACAAAAGCTCCCAAGCTTGTTTGTCAAACGCAACTCGACCATCTGTGTGTAGTCGGGATTGTCTTAGTCAGTTGGCTTGAGATCCGGGTGGTTAGACGCCACCCAAAATTGCCAGTCGCAACTGCGCTATTAGGAGATGAGCTTGTTCTAGTGCCATCCCCGGGTCATCGTGTCTTGTCAATCCCATTTCACACGCAAGCCAGGGGACGCGTAGTCGTCTATCAGTCGAAGCGCTGCGTCGGCTCGATTCCCCATGAGTACGCGTGGTAGAGATTTAATTCCTTTTTAATTGAGATGGCGGTTGAGATTCCTAGAAAGACGGCTTGGTCCTATTTAATTAGGCCCGCTCTGATGAATCTGCAACCTCCATTTCCAAATCTTGTAGCAAAGATGAGGAAGAAAACCGCTGGTCGCAAACGTCCTCACAAGGCGTCGTCGTCGAGTAGTACGTCATCACCTCCGGTGTCCGCTCCCGCGTCTCCATCCCCGACGTCATATGGAGCCCCAGCCGCGGCAGCAGCATTGCCGCTAGCAATGACGCCGGTGGTTCTAGCCCCAGCGGTCCCTGGAGAGGAACGTGAGGTCAATGAAGTCACTTCACCGGGATTTCCAGTCGGGCCTGCAACTCAGCCGGTGCCATCGGCGCCGGAGGTAGTGATCGAGCTCTCCGACGAGGACGAGCCGGAAGGCTCAATCCCGTCGGCGGGTGCTGCTCCCATTGCTCCAGTCTCCACCGCCGCTCCTGCCTCCGTTGCCTCCACCGCCCTCGACGTCCCCGGGCCCTCCACTCCTTGCGCCGCTGGCTCGCCGGACACGAGCCGTGACGAAGAGATCGCGAGGAAGCTCGTTGTTGAGCTAAACCGTGAAGCCATCAGCATTCCGGGAGACGGCGGCCTAGTGATCCTCAGCAGCGACAGTGAGGAAGAGGTCACCGAGGAGGAGGAGGAGGAGGAGAACGAGCCCGTGGGTGGTGGGTCACCGTCGAGGAGCTAGACTGCTCCATCCCGTCAGCCAGCCCTCTAAGGAGCTTGGTGACAAGCGGTGGAAGTGCCTACTCCTTCTATCTTAGATTAGGATCCCAGTTTAATCATTTGTAAATACGTGTTAACGAATTATATCAATGAAATGACTAGTTCCCAATGAGTATCTTGCTGTTGATCTGCATTTCTTCACACTGTTCCGTGTTCGAGTCGACGCGGTCAGAGCCACGACACGCTTTACATGCGGACACAATCCGAAATCGGGATAACATTAGCAGTGTCGTCCCAGTTACTGAGTTGATTCATAGCCCCGAGCTACAGGCCAATTGGGATGCTCTAGTCAGGTCAGAACTTTACTCACAACTCGGGTACAAAGTGCTTGTAAATTATTGAATAAAAAAACGATAGTTTGCTTTGTGAATAACTTACATTGCGGCCATATTTAAGACTTGAATAGACTAACAACGCTGAGCCTGTCAATTTGTGGTGAGGAAAAAATGGAAACATTTACCTGTTCCGGCAATATTGTAAGATTGTTAAACTACTTTGTTAGTCTTGCACAGTTCTTCTTTCTTTTGTTATTTGAATCATTCGTTATGCAAACATTTAAACTTATAGTAGCTAAACATGAGCGGTTTGTGTACTGCAAGTCAATGTCGTTTGAATGATTTAGGCTTAGTATGATTGAGAATTTTTGCAGACTAGTGAATAGCAGTATGATAGCCCCCGACTATTTATTTGGGTACGAGTAGCTTACCTGAATAAATAGTAGAAGACTAATCTGAGAAAAGATAGCTATAATTGAACAGCCCCAGGCCCCGAGCGTATATACTCGAGAAAACTACTACTAACAGAGAAATAAAATTAAACAACAAATGAAACACTTATCTAGGTTGTATGCTGAGAAATAGATCAGGAACGCAGTTTATTATGTATAAAAGCGTTGTAGCTGATCCATGTTCCACGTATTCGGGAGTATATCCCCATCTATCTCTGCTAGTCGGTATGTGCCTGGTCGAGCTATATCAACTACAATGTATGAACCCTGCAAAGTGGGTGTTAACTTAGTTTTATCCTTTGAGCATTGTTCTCGTTTGAGTACCAAATCATCGACGTTAAGTGCCCGGGCGTGTATACACTGGCTATGATATCTCCGGAGGGCTTGCTGGTATTTCACGACTCAGAATGCAGCTATATCACGCTTTTTTTGAGGAGTTCTAGGTCGGTGTAACGACGGTCAGCTTGCTCTTCTTCGGAAAACATCGATACTCGGGGCGAGTTTAGTCGGACTTCGGGGGGAAGGACAGCTTCAACCCCATAACTAGGAAAAATGGCGTTTCACCCGTTGCTCGATTAGCTATAGTACGCACTGCCCGTAAAAATGTGGGGAGTTTTTCGACTCATTTTCTATCATAGACACTCAGGCTATCGAAAATTCGGGTCTTGATCCCTTGTAGAATTATGCTGTTAGGACGCTCTATTTTACCGTTGGTCATCGGGTGGTAGACTGATGACGGATAATGCTTAATGGCATGTCTTTCATAAAAATTCTCAATTTTTTTGCTGGTAAATTATGTACCATTATTCGAGAGTATTTGGTGCGGTACGCCAAAACGCAATACAATGCTCTGCAAAAATTTGAATGTATTTTCTTTGGTTATCCGGCCTACTGGCTCAGCTTCAACCCACTTTATGAAAGTATCGATCGCTACAATAAAAATCTGTAACCACCCTGGGCTCTTAGGAAAGGACCCAGGATGTCAATGCTCCATGAGGCAAATGGCCAAGACAAGGGATCGTATTTAGCGCTTGAGCAGGCTAGTGAATCTGCCGTTTAAAAAACTGACAAGCTTCACATGTTCTAACCAGCTCAGTGGCATCTTCGAGCGCTGTAGGCCAGTAAAATCCTTGTCGAAAGGCTTTCCCGACCAGCGTTCTGTGAGAGGCATGGGACCCATAGATTTCTCCGTGGATGTCGTGGAGCAAACTAATGCCCTTGGCCTGGGTGATACACTTGAGAAGAACCCCATTTCGCCCTCGCTTGTAGAGGGTACCGTCTACCATTTGATAGCCCATGGCTTTACGGCTAGTTCATTCTATATTCGTATCATCGACCAGAGTAGCCTGGTTTGTGAGGTACGCCCGGATTAGATCCATCCAGTTCTCCCCGTTTCCAACTAGAGTGGCAGCACGAGCCGTATCGCCCAGCATAGACTTCCCAAGAAATTCGCTGAGTATTGCCAATTCGCTTGACGGATCAAGCGTGGGGTTTGGACCCAACTTTGACATCGGGATAGAGGGTTTAGCTAGCAGTTCGACCAGGACGTCTCCCGGTAGGTGCTGTTGTTTAGCTGCCCGGGTAGCAAGCGTGTCAGCATCCGAGTTTAGTTTTCTCGGGTTGTATTGGACCTCGAGTCCATCAAATTCAGATTCCAATTGTCTATATGCCAGTAAATATGCGGCCATGTTCTTGTTTGTTACTCGATAATCCTTGCTGGTCTGTTTAGCGACTACTTCTGGATCCCCTTTCACAAGTAGTCATTTAATACCCAAGGATATGGCAATTCATAAACCAGTTAACATGCCCTCATATTTGGCAATATTGTTAGTTGGAGTAGGATGTGTAAAATCAATTTGAATTGCATACCTCATGGCATCCCCTTCCGAAGAGATTAAGACGACGCCAGCCCCTGCGCCATTCTTGCATTTTGCTCCATCGTAGAACATTAGCCAGTGCTCAGGGTTTTGAGCCACCTCCTCGGGTTCAGGATTTGTCCATTCTGCAACAAAATCAGCTAGAGCCTACGATTTGATCACAGTTCTAGGTACAAATTCTATATCGTATTGGCCTAACTCAACTGACCATTGAGCGATTCTACCAACGACATCTCAATTATGAACAATGGTACCGAGTGGGTACGAAGAAACCACTTTGATCTTGTGACTTAAGAAATAATGCTTAAGCTTTCGAGAAGACATCAATACGGCATAGATTAGTTTTTGAATGTTTGGTTACCTGGATTGGGCTTCTTGTAGCACTTCGCTCACAAAATACACGGGGTGTTGTTTTGTTGACTTCTCGTCTTGACGCTCGACCACCAGGACTGCGCTGACAACTGTGGGAGTTGCAGCTACATAAAGGAGCATGGCTTCGCTATCTTTGGGAGAAACAAGTATAGGTAACTGTTTCAAGTATTGCTTGAACACCTGAAATGCTTCATCGGCCTGTTCACTCCAAAGAAAACCGTCATGCTTTTTTAATAACTTATAAAATGGCATACCTCGTTCACCTGACTTGGATACGAATCGACATAGGGCTGCCATCATGCCAGCTAACTCCAGGACTTCTTTTTCGTTACGTGGAGATTGCATATCATCGATAGCCTTGACCTTTTTTTGGGTTAGCTTCGATGCCCCGATGAGACAACAAATACCCGAGGAAACGCCAAAAGAACATTTATCGGGGTTTAGCATCATTCTGTTCTTATGTAAGTTATTAAAAGTTTCTTCTAGGTCAGCGATCAGATCGCCTCGGAATTTGCTTTTGACAACAATATCATCAATATATGCTTCCACATGGCGGCCGATTTGGCCTTCAAGAACAATATGAACACATTTTTTATATGTAGAACCAGCATTCTTAAGGCCAAAAGGCATCTTAATATAACAGTACACACCGAAAGGAGTTACAAATGCAGTTTTTCCTCATCATCTATGCACATGCTAATTTGGTGATACCCCGAATAGGCATCTAGAAAACATAGCAATTCGCATCCGGAGGTTGAATCTACAATTTGATCTATCCTCGGAAGAGGATATTCATCCTTAGGGCATGCTTTATTAAGTTCGATATAGTCCACGCACATCCACCATGTGCCGTTAGGCTTCTTGACCATGACGAAGTTTGCTAACCACTCTAGGAAGGGGACCTCTCGTACAAAACCGGCCTTCAGTAGTCGGTAGATTTCATCTCGTATGGCGGCTCGCTTCTCGGGTGTGTAGCGTCTTTGTTTTTGTCTGACTGGTCAAGCGCCAGTTGGTAGACCTAATTTGTGCTCTCTTACCTCCCTGGGGATTCTGAGCATGTCTGATGGTTCCCAAGCAAACACATTCTTATTTGTCTGGAGGAAAGCAATGAGCTTGAGTCCCTATTGAGGAGGAAGGTTGGTCTCGATATTGGTGGTCTGGTCCCCAGTTGCGACCTCCTTAGATTGAGGAGTGTCATCTGGCTTGTCCATGACCGCCACTAGTTCAGAGTTGACCATGTTGATCTTCAGCGTCTGAGACTGTGGGAATTCTAGAGTCTGGGATTGCGAGATCATTGGGATCAGAACTTCAGAGGGCATTGGAGCCTGAGGTGGAGGCAGTGCCAAGATTTGATTCTGTGGCTAGATAGGCGCCTTGGACCTGAATTCAGTCGCTTTAGAGCTCTCGACCTCTGGGATTGACGGCTTAGACACAACCAGGGCTGCTACGACAGGCGCAGGTAGTGTAGCTGCTAGCGTTGTCATAATAGTTGGGTCTGTGGTCTTTTGCTGCTTTGACGGTGGCTCAGCCGGGTCTATGAGAACCTACCTAAACTACTTGATCAGGTCGAGAGTTTTCAAGTCGCAGGCGACTACACCTTTCTGGTCACTGTATATAGTGAGGGGACCATGGGGCCTAGGCACCTTCAGCACCGAGTAGGCGAAGTGAGCGACAGCCATGAATTTCTTCAGGAACGGTCGCCCCAGAATGCAGTTATAGGCTGACTCAAAATCAGCTACCTCGAAAGTCAGGATTTCGGACCTTAGGTTCTCACCTTCTTGCAGGGTAACCTGAATGTTGATCCTTCTGAGTGGATAGGCTGACATGCCTGGCATTATTCCATAGAAGGGTTCCTTGCCTGGAATTAGAGCCTTCCTGGGCAACGCGAGGTTGTCATATGTATTGGCAAAAAGCAGATTGAGCGCATTGCCACTATCGATTAAGGTTCATCTGACCTTGTAATTCCTAATGTATGGTTTAATAACC